TTAAGTGTTCTTTTTGCTTTTACGGTACTAGTATGAAGTACTGCTGCTCTTACTGAAATCTTTGCTACATTGAATTGAAGAATAATTGCCTTTTAATTAAAATATTGAGGCAAGTTTTTTCTGTTGTAAAATTTAAAGGTCAAACCAATATTTATAAAACTGTACAGGTCATCACTGGAAGTACTTTACACCGTTCTTCTAACAACTAGGTATACATTACATTTGTTAACATGTTTCTGAAAGGTGTTTCTTTTGCCTGAAGTTATTTTGCAATAAAGTAATTTTATTTTACACTTTAAAACTTGAACAGACGCCATCTGTCTGATTAGATCATTTTAGATATAGATTACTTGTTATGATCAGTTACTTTTAAACCATGCAATTTTTATTAATACTTGAGGGATTTCTTGCATGGCTACTTTTAAACTTTTACTTGCAGCGGTCCTCTACCTACCTCTGACCTTGTGCAGATAAAAATGAAAGGCACCAATCCAACGCCCCGGTTAACTAAAATCTGTGATTGCCAAGAAAAAGCAAAGTGCAAAATAAATCTGCGGATTGTTCTCAAAGAGCAGCGGATCTAAACATGACAGGAACGGTAAGTCCAAGGCATGGGAGGACCAGAAGCGTACCAGCTTTGTCAAGTTAAAAAAATTATTTTTCTTACAAACTTTACAGGAAGTCAAATTATTTTAGTTAAACTACCACTTTAAAAAAATCATTAAAACAACTAACTTTAAATTGATCGACAGGATGAACACAAGCAGGGCAAAGAACCAAAAAGGGACACAGAGGTATGAGAAATATATTTATGGTTGTTTTGGCAGAAAAAAGAAATATACAAAGCAGATAAATATTCTAGTTTCCATTCCAACTACTGATCGGACAGAAGAAAGAAGTCCCTTTCAATGTGAAGCATCGATTTTTCTTCTTTTTTTAAAAACAAAACACATCCGAACTTACCACTAACACACGTCCCCACTGAGTTACAACACATGCTAGTTATTCAAAACACTACATCAAGAGTCAAATTTAATACAAAGCAGATGTCAGTTGAAAGCAAGCAGAAAAAAAAAATCTAAATCAAAAAATAAAAGGGATTGAACAAATAAATAAAAAAAAAAGATCAACTCTAGAATTCTGTACACAGCGTTTCAGATTTTTTTTTGTGTTTGTTTACGTACAAAACATCTCTTTAAAAAAATGTCCGTAGCTTAAATGGCTGTTACAAATAGGATTACTGAAGAGAGTCTTTGACATTAGAATAGAACAGGTCTGAACTGATGCACAGACGTGGGCACCTCTGTTACTGAAGCCTTCTGCGTATGAAAACAAAGAGAAGTCTGTCTGCAGAGACATATATATATATGTATATATATATATATATATATATAAAAATGTATTCCGCTTTGTTTTTTCATATAGTTTGCTGAATTTAATCCTAGCCCATCATAGAGGAAACAAAGTATCATTTTGCTGCAATCTTTATTTTTTATTTGCCCCCATTTCACCACGCAGCCATGGAGAAAAGGCCACATTTGCTACTGACAATGGGCTCCTGAGTGACATTCACCAGGCTGTTAATCTTTTATAATCAACAGGTTCAAAAATGGAAGACAAAACTATACAATCCAACTGTTACGTGGGAAATTTCTATAGAGTCAGGTTGTGCCAATAAGATCTCCAGCTGGTTAAGTGACACACCTTTACAACCACTATCTTGTAAAAAGCTTCCTCTTCCCCTATTAAATCCACTTCCCAGTAAGAGCACTGGCAAACAAAGAAGGGTCTGATACCAGGACCAGAGCGCCATGCATGGATCTGGTCATTTCTACTGATACTGTTGTTTTTTCTCTCTCTCTGTGGTTCAATCCAAAGCAGTTTATGCAAAAAAATAAAATAAATAAAAAGATGATGCTGATGTGTGAATTAGGCTTTAGGTGTGCAAGGAGGAGACAGGTGTCAGTAACAGTCCGGTTGGGTTCTGGTTCCTCAGCTGATCATTGTTGTAACAAGATGAATGTAACTTATTTTAGCTCTGAACAGTAACCTGCTAATTTGTCCCCATGTGTAACACTAATAGTCTAACATTACTGTCTGAGTGTCGGTAAGGGGATGAAGTGTGGTTTTAGGTTGAACAGACAGATAACTCAGATTAAAGGGCATATGAAGCTGCATTATAAGGCTGTTCAGATTTATGATCTTTTTTTAACTGTTAGAGGAGGGGATAAAGTCGACTCCTTCGTCTCCTCTGTTCAGCTCATTTCACTGAATTTTTAGATGCTTTGGTCATTTCTACAGATACCGTAATTTGTATTTTATTTCAGAATTTTTAGATGCTATTTTTGGTTTGCCAGGCTTACGGTCACAGAAGATCTCTGATAATTTGGACAGATGACGGCCATTTTTCCATTTTCTAACACATATCATGATGTCGCACCCTGTAAAAAGGTTCCCAGAACCACAGCATTATATATTCTCCCTCGTACTCTTCTTTACTGCAAGCAAGAGGTGCTTTTATGGTTGTAAAAAAAACTCACCAGAGGCGTTTGATACAGAAAAAGTTTCACCTCATCTGACCCAACACATGGCTTGAATTAAACTCTGTTTTTTTTTAACCTTTCTCATTTTTCTGCTCACTCTGAGTAGCAAGAGACAAAGGGATCCTTGATCTGAAATTAACTAAAAGAAGCAGTGCTCTGTGTTGTGTTTTATTTAAAGTCTATAAAGAGGTTAATAATTACAAGATCCTATAAACTCTGATAAACCTAAAAGAAAAAAAACTTTAGGGATATTTCAAAGCATTTTTCAATATTGTCAATAGTTCTCACTGGGGTTTTGGTATAAAAAAAAAGAAAAAAAAAAGGGAAATTTTAAATAAAACTTAATTGCTGAACTTTAAACCTGCTTCAACATTTAATTAAGTTGTTTCATCATTTATTGGAGCAACTTAATTAAATGTTGAAGCAGTTCAGGCGTCTTTACTGCTGTGAATACAAACATTTATCCCAAATTTCCTCCTATTGAAAATACAACAACCACAAAAAACCTAAATATGTTTCCTGTACCTGGTGTAGATTTCTTTTATCTGTCTGGAAACATGAGCAAAGACATGTTGGGGGAAAAAAAAAAAAGTGTTTTGTGGATAGCTTAAAAACATTCTCACATAAAGCCCATTGCCATGCATGGACTACGTGTTGGTATTTTCCACGGCGAGTAAAAAATATACTGTCAATAGTAATAATAATGCCCTGCAGGCACTGTAATGGCACTTTAATACTCCTGTCTGCACAGAAAAAATGCTACTTCTAGTCCTATACTCCCTATCGAGTTTAATTAATTAAAAACAGCCCCTGATGAGCGTTTGAGCCAATAGAACACATTTGATCTTGCAGCCCTTTTCTGGTAAAAGCTGGCCTGTTGGCTGTAGGACAACAGATGCTCTGATGGGCCGTGTGATCGTTTGAAGAGACTCGGCGACAATCATGGTGAGAGAGGCAGGAGTTGGTGTTCTGCACTCGCCTGCCTTTACTTTGTAGAGAGGAGATAAAGTCAGGGAGGCTGAGCAGGATAACTTCATGTGCCTTTGCTGTAAGACCCGCAGTGGCTAAAATCCGAGCTGGTGGACTGAATCTGGTTTGACCCGTCGCTGCTCTCGGACTTTTGAGATTGAGGCAGACCCTTCTGGCATGGCTCCATGGTGACGGCCACACCCACGCCACTCCGCCCTGATGTCATGTGCGTCACCTCAGACCAGCTGTCTGTCTCTGGGTCATAACACTCCACGCTGTCCAGGAAAGTGTTGCCATCGTAGCCTCCTGCAGAGATAATATTAGAGTCTTTAATTCAAACAGCCATTTCATGAAGAGCGGACAGGAACTGGGTTTCCTTCAAGCATCAAACTGCGCAAATTTTAATTACTATAAATAATCTGCTAAATGGACACACTGGGAAAAAAAATATATATATTTTTTTTTCTTTTTTAAACCCTATATTAAAATTTTCATAACTGTAACAGAAATTATATTTCTTCCCAATTCTAAACTAAAATGTGTCAAAGGTAAACAATTTATTTTCTGCATTAACAACCTTTCTGTTTAATTACCTGACTGCCAAAACTCTCCTGGAAATGAAATCCTATCCTAATTTGTTCTGTGTTGCATTTTTGCATAAATGTAGTCATTTTTAGGTGTGCAGGTTGAACAGTGGTTAGCGCGAATGACCCTCAGTCCTCGGCGCGGCCGACCCGGGTTCGAATCTGACCTGTGTTCCTAATCTCTTTCCCTCTCTCATACCCCCTTTCCTGTCAGCCTACTGTCAGAAAAACCAGCTACTAGTGCCGTAAAAACTAAACAAAAATATAAATAAAAAGGTAGTAATTTTTAGTTTTATGTTTGCCTCCCATTGTACTTTTATAGTATACTGTGCATAAGCGAAAGAAAGACAGATAATACAGATAAACACGTTGTAATCATATTTTACCAGACTGCTCTGAGCAATAATGTAAAAAGAATCCAATTCTCTCTTTAAATATTGTTTATAAGATGTAGTTTGCCATTCTTTTACGATTTAATAATAAAAATAAGTATTTTCAGTACCGTAATTACATTATTTATGGCGAACACCTGCATGCACATGTGCATATGAGCCGATGGTATGGACCGTGCTTCCAGTACAGGTCAGGAAGTGACACTTTGTAAAAATCGGAAAAAAGAAGAAGACCAGAAGTAGATGGAGGATGACGGGGCGGCACATTTGGATTCCTGAGGAGACTATTTAAAAAAAATTTTTTTTTTTACATTTCCATTTGCAACGATGAGCAGAAAAGACGTGGCTGGAATATGAATATATCTCATGCGTTTACATCCGCCACTGCCATGTTGTTTAAGGTCGTTTTCATGTGTTATTCTTTATTTTTATTTTTACGAGGATACCAGAATTTCAAAATATTAGTATTTAGAAAATTAGCTGATAGTATTGCACACATTTGTACCAGCCAAAGAACCAGCCAAAGCTCTGATCTATGTTATGGCATTTAATAGAACGACATTAAATGCTAAATGAGGAGGTTAAAAGCAGGAAAACTCAGCGTATGATTATATTAAAACTCTATGCAGTACAAACAACTGCCTTAGGAAAGCATCTAATAAGTGAACAGATTTCCTTTCAGTAAGCGTCTACCTAACCTGACGGACCAGAAGAGCATTAATCAGAGAAACAACTCTGGAGGAGCAGCAAAGAGCCCAAGCTCAGATGGGATAATCAGAATAGTTCCTAGTCAAACCACAAAGGGACCAGGCAAACATAGGAGAAACAGTAAAACACGATGGTGGCACCATCATGCTGTGAAGCAGCCTGTTTTTGCACCAGGACAGGGAACATGGTCACATTCATCGGATGTTTAATGCGTGATTCAGCATCCTCTCTCATTCGTCTCCTTTCCTTAGCGGCTAAAGAGACACATAATGATTAAAAGCCACAGTACGGCACCCGGGGACAGACTTTACTTCTAGTTAGAGCTTTAAACTAAAACAACTTCAGCAGCAAAGCGCTGGTTGACTTGAAAAAACAATCCATAAACATCTACAGAACATTAAGTTCCTCTGGTCTAATGTCTCCTCCCTGAATCGGCTCTTTATATTGTGGCAAAATATAGACCGAATATTGAGCACAAGTTCTGCACAGAAATGAACGACTTGACTAACTAGCATTTAGTATCCTTCTTGCTAACTGGCTAAACATGATACGTTAGTATGCATTAACTTATAATGAGCTAACATGATCTGCAGGCATCAGCATTATCGGTTTGGAGAACATGATTGTGACAAGCACCATGCAGCTCTGTTCAGCAGCACATCTCAGGGTTCCTACAGCATAAGGCAAATTCAATTCAAGACTTTTTAATGCCACTTGAGATAAAAAATTTAAGACCAAATTCACAAGAAACACCCGCTTGCGACAACTTAACCCA